TATGAAAGTTTAACTTTCCATGTGTTTATTATTTTGTACACTAGCTAACAGTAAAATACAATGGATAGTCAATTATTAATTACATTAATGCTGCAGAGAGAGTTTCACCTTTTTTAATTCAAAGTTACTGAAATATAAAATAATTAAACACATTTCTTAATCCAATCATATATTATAATAAAAATTGTAAAATGTCTAAATAAATTCAATATTGTGTCACTGTTATAACACAGATCAATCACATTTGCGACTCGGTATATTTATTGTTAACACATATATACCAATTATACCAAGTATACCAGTTATTTTTATGAAAATCATTGCACCAGTTAATGGTTAAAACAATTGCCAGTTAAATACGATAAAAGAAGAGAGCAAAGTAATCCCTTCTCTTGAATCAGACTTTTTTAAATAATTTATAACCCTCTTGAAGCAAGGACTACATAGCGTAGAAATAAAGAACTGTGACGGAATTTAAAAACTTCTGGCACCATGCAATGTTGTTATCGTAGAGCTCTCGTTTGAGATGCTTTTTGCACAAGCCTTTATTCGCGCGATAGTCAAATGTTCAATGGATCCCTGATTCTTTTGTTGCGTAGCACATTTATTAATGTCGTAACCGTCGAGAATGTTTTGGTTCATTTTGATAAAGTGTGACGTGTTTATTCAGGATCGTCAATTTATCATTCCATACACATCACCTAGAACTTGTGAAATAAATTCAGAAAATACGAATAAAATTTTGAAGCTTCTCCTCTCGTCACGAGAGGAGAATGTGAGTCAAATACATATAATATTTCATTAGACGAAACTTCTGGACTTCTCAAATAATAATTACTTAAGTCTATATTCTTCAGCGTATAACGAAATAATAATACCAATCAACAATGTATACATATTAAAAAATATTATGATCGCAAAGAATTAGGGGAAACTTATCAAATGGATATGAGTTATTTAAATCGTACCTAATGAATCGATTATTACTTACTATATGCAACATAATTATAATATTTTCAATCTGTTGCTTCTGTTTGTTTTTGATAGCAAACCGTTGTTTCGTGATATCCAAAAAAGTGTTTAAAAATCAGGTAGGGTTGATGTAATTTTTACTAATTATATAATAAGCAACATCATTTTTTAAAAATTTTCAATTTCATTTATTTGTATATTAAATTAACTTCTTTAAATTGCATAGCATCTTAACAGGGTCTTAGAAAATTCTCACAGTTATAGTTATGAAATGTTAGCAATAACATATATGTTTCCTTGCGTTTAAAAAGTTCACGTGTTCCATACAAGCATGAGACCTGTAGTCTACACATTAACATTTATTTCGATATTGAATTGAACATTTCTCAAGGTGCAGAAAACTTTCCAAAATGCTATATTAATGCACGAAGACGCGCAGCCATATAAATACCATAAATGCGTAAAGATCTGCAGTCTATTTATAAATAATGAGTCTCATAACATTACTTGGTTTAAATATCTGTTGATTAAAAGTCTTCTTATTAATAGTGTTTCAAGTTGCATCAATTTGACAAGCTTACCGAATTTGTTTTTTATGATTTTTATCTAAAAAATACGCAAATCCTACATTCCATAGCTCAGTTAAATATGTAAACATACATTTTTTTTTAATTTTAACATGTGGCGTTTTTCCTTACAGCCACAGATATCAAAATCATGATTTAATGTTACGATTCAATCGAAGGTTACACGTTGAATGAAATATCGTTAGATGAATGCCGATGTCACTTGCAATGAAACTTCTCTCTTAGAACACTGCTAGACAATGACTGCTTCATCATAAATGGAATTCATTTGCGTTACGTTCAGGTGTCTAAGAAACCAAGTTTATAACAGTCGCGTCTGTATAACATACACCTCTTCTTGCATTTACCAGTTGGTCAAAATTAACATATTCGGAACTCAAACTCGGTCACGATATAAGCAACATAATAATTATAACTTCGAGCCACATCATAGATTGATCGGCACGGCGTTCAATGGCGTGTACTGAAGGGTGCTTTTCGAGATTTATTATAGAGATTCCAACCTTTCGGAACCTTGGATAAATCTTTGAAATATGAACTGAATAAGTTGAATATATCTTCATACGATTCTGCCCTTAGAATTTCAACTCCCTACATCAATCTCGACAAACGGTTTCGTTGGTTTTATGACAGTTTTAAGTCTCGAACGTGATGCCATCATAGCGCCATTTCATTTCCATAAAATTCACCATTTAGTCGTTAGCATTACGTGCATTTTTCGATGCTAGCAGCAACTCCAACTTTTAAAAGCGAAGCTCTCGTGAACCGGACATTTTGAGAGAAAAAAAGCTGAAAATGTTTCTGAATTTATTACTACAATATTTTAATATAAGTAATATAGCTGTTATTGTCATTGTGCAGCAAAATGTAAACGGAGTGCGGAAAGTTAAAGCTTTTATTTGTTGGATTTATAATAATTTAATCCGAACAACGATAAACTATAAATATTTAACTAATGGAAAATAACATCTTTCAACACACTTGACATACATTGCAATGGCCATAATCAATAATTCGTTCACATTCAACTTTCTTCTTCTCCTTCTCTCATTTAAAGCTACATTCGCTCTAAACGTTCTTTCTCGTTCATACTCGCTAATTGACATTTATACTAAGTTCTCAATTCCCAATAAAATCATCTCGCACACAAAGATAATAAATAAACACTAATTTTACGAGCTCTTAATGTCTTTAAACAAGGAAAGCTGCTTTTGCTGCATTTTTGCCATTCATTTAAATTAACGTTATTGTTACATATTTACTGTTTATTTATTACATAATAAAATATTTAAATTCTTGTCTATATTGATACTTTTAAATACTCATAGTATTTACTTAGATTATTTGGTAAATAAAGGTACAAGTCGCAGTGTTAACCCTTTGCAGTCGGAGAATTTTCTCTAATCAGCTACCAACAACCGAAACGTGGCGCAACAAACGCTTCAAATAAAATATAAACTGATATAATATTGAAAATCACTACGCTATTTAAATAGAGTTTGGTAAGAAATTGCATTAATAGAGATCTCACAAAACAAAAATTATTTACTTTTAATGTCTAATCATCAACAATTAAATTATATTCTCAGAGAGAGAGAGAGAGAGAGAGAGAGAGAGTATGTGTATTATCTCGATGAAGTATTTACCTTTAACCAGACAATGACCCAAGATTAAATGTCGAGGAAACTGCAAAATTTTTACTAAGAATTAAAAAATGATCTCGA